GGGATCATGACCTGAGCCGAAGGCAGACGCTTAACGACTGAGCCACCCAGGCGCCCCTTGATGTGTTTATTGACAAAAAAAAGTGATGTAAAAAAATGTGTTTATTGGCCACATGTATATCTTCCATGGAGAAATCTCTTTGCCTATTTTTTAACTGCCTTTTGTTTGTTTCTTTTTTCTCTTTGTGTGTGTGTGTTGTAAGAGTTCTTTATATAGTCTGGATAGTAGACCATTATTAGATATATGATTTATAAATATTTTCTCCCATTCTGTGGGTTGCCTTTTTACCTTCTCCATAGTGTCCTTTGGTGCATAAACATTTTAATGGATCAGTTATTAATTAGGTTCTTTTTAAGAAATTTAGAACACCAGTTTGTGAGGGTAAACTCCCATTTGTGAGAGAAAACACAGAGCAGAGGTAGCCTTGAAGCTGAGGAACAGCTTTAATTTTTGGCAGAATTTGTGAGTCCACAGCTTTTTTTTTTTTTTTTGAAGATTTTATTTATTTATTTAACAGAGAGAGACACAGTGAGAGAGGGAACACAAACGGGGGAGTGGGAGAGGGAGAAGCAGGCTTCCCGCAGAGCAGGGAGTCCGACGTGGGACTCGATCCCAGGACCCCGAGACCATGACCTGAGCTGAAGGCAGACGCTTAACGACTGAGCCACCCAGGTGCCCAGTCCACAGCTTTCTGATCAACGTTGCACTGCTCTGTAATCTCATATTTCTCCTTCTCTGTCGAAGATCTCACCTTCCTGGTGTCTGGGTTTATGTAGCTGCTGCTGCTTGAAGTAAGCATCAGTGAGATGTTTTGGGATTTTCACACTGCTGATACCAATTTTGGTGTAGGTGGCAATGACAAATTTCTGGTGTGTTCTACACAGAGGAACTCGATTGAGGGCTAGAGGTCTGGTTACAAGTAAGAAGCCATTGCTCAGTGGCTTCAGGAGAACCACCCTCTTACCTCTGTGGCACCCAGTGAGGATGATCAAAATGGTCCCAGGAGTGATGCTAGCTCACAGTTTTCTTACAATGCTGACTAAAAGGTTTTTTGCTGTGGCTCAACAGCTTTCGAGAGGCACATCTTCAGTAGAGTAATACCTCAGCATCTTGTGAAGTTTAACCACTCGGGTACTACCATTCTTGTAACCACCAACTGATTTTGTAACGGTAGCAAGAACCTTCTCTTTCTTTTCTTAGCTGTTGACTAGTTCCTCTTGTAGATGGCCTTTCTGGAGTACATAGCTGATCAGGAATAGCTGCCAATTGCTCTGACTAGGAGAGGGTTTCGACCGCGGTGGGGCTTCCCATTTGGCATTTTAGCCATGAGGTTACCCTTCTTAACCTTGCCACCAGCATCAGCCTTCTTGGCTTCAGGTTTCTTCTCCTTAGTATCCAGCTTCTCAGCTTTTTTACTCCCCATCTTGCAAGATGGGAAAGAGGATGCACAAACATTTTTAAGTTTGATGTCCAGTTTATCTCTTTTTTCTTTTTTAATGAATATATTTGACATATAACATTGAGTACTTTTTTTTTTAGAGATTTTATTTATTCATTTGATAAAGAGCACAAGCAGGGGGAATGGCAGAGGGAGAGGGAGAAGCAGGCTCCCCGCTGAGCAGGGAGCCCGATGCGGGACCTGATCATGTCCCAGATCATGACCTGAGCCGAAGGCAGATGCTTAACCAACTGAGCCAGCCAGGCACCCCTGACATTGGGTATATTTAAGGTGTACAACATGTTAACTGATAGATTTATTTTTTGCAGTACGATTGCCATTAGAACAACATTAAGCACCTCTATCACATCACGTAATTATCCTTTTTAGTGGTGGAAATAATTAAGGTCTAGTCTCCTAGCAAGTCTGATGATTAGACTACAGTATTGGTGTCTATATGCATTATACTTAGCATTAGATCTCTATGGTTTATTTTACTTGTTCCAAGTTTGCACCCTTAAACCTATTTTTTCTTTTGTTGCTTGTGCTTTTAGTGTTATATCTAAGAATCTGTTGCCAGAGCCAAGACTATTAAGCTTTACCTCTATGTGTTCTTGGAAGGGTTTTATATTTTTAGCTCTTACTTATAGGTCTTTGGTCTATTTTGCGTTACTTTTTGTAAATGGTGTGAGGTAAAGGTCTAACTTCATTTTTTTGCATGTGGATATCCAGTTGTCTTAGCACTATTTTCGAAGAGACTTCTTTTTCCATTGAATGATTTGTCACTCTTGTAAAAAAATCGTTGACCGTAGATGTATGCATTTATTTTTGTACTTTCAGTTCTATTCCATTGAACTATATGACTATGCTTATGTCAGTACCACACTTTTTCTTTATTAATTTTTTTATTTTAATTTCAATGTAGTTACAGTGTTTGTTACATTAGTTTCAGGTGTAAAACAGTGATTCAGCAATTCTATATGTTACTCAGGGCTCATCA